AAGTTGTGTCACCCATCGTGATCCCATGGACAACGTTCTTCCAGCCTTCCTGTCCTCTACCATCCTCTGGAGGCCATTCAAGCTCATGCCTATTACTTAAGTGACTCCATCCAGCCAACTCATTCTCTGTCGTCCCCTTCTTCTTTTGCCCTCAATCGTTCCCAGCATTAGGCTCTTCTCCAGTGAGTCCTTCCTTCTCATTAGGTGGCCAAAGTATTTGTGTTTCATCTTTAGGATCTGGCCTTCTAAAGAGCAGTCAGGGTGTGTTATATAAACATAAAATCAAGGTAGCGCTTCAGTTACACCATTGTGACTGCTTTCTTAGTGTTTTGGTTTTTTTGACACTATCCCCTTCAGATATTTGTGACTGAGCAGGAGGATATGAGAGGGATTTTACGCTGCAGAACTCTTCTATAATCTTCTTGTAGATAGACTCATTCCATTTGAGAATATCTAAAGATGGACCTGGAAATTTGTAAACATGTTCAGCATACGATTCCAATTAGGATATTCCATATCTTGTTCTTAGGTACCACATATTTATGACAACCTGAGTTTGACTTCAAAATTATTTTATATCTATTGTTCTTGTGTACAGTTTTACATTAGGTGGCAGTGTTTCATCATTCATTAACACACAGATTTCATTCCATCACCAAATTGAAAAAAAACAAAACATTTTTGTTCCCATTTTCAAGACATAACAGAAGGCTTTATAGCTTCCATTAAAAATAAACCTGCTTGTCATGCTCAGGTTGAGACATAGCACATGGTTTCACACTATTATAGTTCAAAATGTATTATTACTTATTTAACAGTCCCAGATCTCTTTTTGGCAGATCTCTGAGTGAGATGGGTCTGTAGAATTCAGTAAAAGTAAGAATTGCCTTTTTATTCATCTTGGGATCTCTACACAGTGCAATTCAAAATAAAGTTGGATTTAGTGAATGCCTTACAGAGGAGAAAGAAAAATATTACTTTCAATCATTTACTATTTGTCTTTTAACTCCCAAGTAACCAAAGCTAACATTGTAAAATGGAAACCTGTTGTCTAGAGTCAAAACAAAGCAAACATTAAAATGTTCATTAATTTAAATATTTTTAAAAGTGAGGTCCTTGCATTTCTCAGTTTGGTGCTTTCCTTATGACATGGACCACATCTCCCATTATTCCCATTTTTACTAACTGGAAGATGGAAATTGTAATCCAAATATATGTGGGGGTAGCAAATTAAGGAAAAAAGTAGTATATCTGTCCTTACTCTGGGTGTCTGCAAATATGTGGATCATAGTTCTCAGAATTCCTACAGTGGCTATTGTAAAAATTCTGCAATTGGAGTCCAAGTTAAGGAAAGTAAAGAAGATTTCTGCAGGGTCATGCTATTGGCTCATTTAATCCATCATTCTATACTGTGTAATGGTCGGTCAAGTGCGTAGAGAAAAGCTATAAAGATGGAAACAAAAGTGATAGCATCCACCATTGTTATTCTCCAAGCAGATTCCGTTTTAAAGTATTGTTGGTTAGGATTTTGATGATAGTAACTGGCCTTCAAAACTAGCAGTCATGGTAGCTTGCTCTTTTCTGAATTTGTCCAAGGCGTTTTAAAACAAAATATGATGGCAGAAAAAATATTCTCCCAGACATTTTCTCAGTCCTGAATGTTTACTTTTAACATATGGGCCATTCTATTGTTGCAGTGCTATGTATTTCCATCAAGTTTTTTTTGGCAAGTTCAGCAGCCTTCTAAACATATTGGTTGTCCTTTCTGCATATTTTCACTGTTGCTTTTTCCTCATGTGATGACTAGAAATCACAATTTCCCAGAAAGACTGTACTTCATTGAGTGAAATCAGCCATTCCTGATAATTGGCATTGCCTTCTTTGTTGGTTTGCTCATCAACAGCTGTGTGAAAGGCTACCTGGGAGACCGCTGTCAGTTTAGTGACTTGGAGTGGTGGGAACAACAACATGAGATGCATCTTAAGAAGCAAAACATCGCAACTGCTGCGTTCTTGGCTGTGCTGTTCTTGGTCCTGCTCCTTGGTGTGGCTGCCTTCTATTTCTATAGGTAGACTTTATTTCCTGTATATGATAATCCGTAGCTATGTTGTTTGTGATCTTTATACATTCTTTCATACATCATAAACCCAAGATTTTGATTTCTTTGCTCATTAATTTAATATTCATGTACATTATTGGTCCTAATATACATTTGCAGTAATAAGGATGATGAGTCTATTTTAATTTATGACTGCATATCCTACTGCTTGCCTTTTAAACATTTCTAGCAATATGTTTGAGGAATTTAAATTACCAACTTTTGAAGATTGAATTTTAATGGTCATCTAATGTTGGCTGTATACACGTGGGCCTAAAACCTTTTGGCTGAGACATATGTGAAGGTAAATGATGAGAACAGCATTACACTATCCAGAAAAAACTCTGGGTCAAAAAACATGTGTCATGATGTCATATGCATATATGAAAAAGGCGGAACTTGTGTCACAATGTTACAATCCTGTTTTTGTTATTTTGATGAAAGTAGTGGATCCTGTCCATTGGACATCTGAGACTCCAGCTAATGATTTTTTAAAGAATAGGAAGGAAAAATACTTCAGTTGAGAAAAGAATCATTTTTTTAAAAAAAGGGGGGGGCAGAGTTCACTGCGAAGAAGGCAATGGCACCTTTTTTCCTAAGTCAATTTATATGAAGTAGGAATACATTAAAGGTAGAGTATCACTGTGCACTTGTTCTCACCTGCTGAAAAAATAAGCTATGGGGTTTGCAGATCTAATTTCTCAGAAGGAACAGCATCAAAAGCTTTGGCTCAGGGCTCTTAATTGTTAATTAACAAGGCCAAATTTTAATCCCCTGCTTTACGTGCCCTGCTTATTCAGCTGTACAGTCCCTAGCTACCTCTGCATTTCAGTCTCTCTGTCTTCTTGGACTTGCACAGCTCATCTTTGTTTGCTGGGAAAATTTAATTTCGGTCAAAATGATATCTACCAAATTCTTTGCTGAACTGAATAAAATACTTGGGGTGGGGGGTGGGGGTCATTTTTTTCCCCTTGAGAACTTGTGAATTTTTTTCCTAATTGTGTGTGTTAGAATACTACATGTGCCTTGTAGTTGGTGGCAGACAAATAACAGTTGGCTGGCTTTTAATATATTGTTGGCTCTATATTAGAATAGAATAAACATGTTCGGAGTAAATTGAGCATTGATTGGGGTTTATTGATACTGTTTGTAGGTCTTGCTAAAGATGGTAGAGGGTGAAGCTGGTAATCTTGTCGACACCCTCTCGCTCTTGTTAAAAAGCATTATGTAAAAATCCCATTTGATCAAATCCACAGTTAGTGCTGAAAGTGAATCTCTATAGGCCCATCTGTTTGGTAAAATATGGAAAATTATATCTTACAATTCATTTTTTTTAGTGTTTGTCCCACATGTTGCAAGATTTATTTATCTTTGCACTGGGCTCACTTAGTTCTTACAGTGAAACTATCAGTACATGGTGTGACAAGGGATTTATTTATCAGCTGGCTTGTTACAGAGTTTAACACTGATTATAGTTGAGAGGGTTTGAGTGCCCAATAATCCAGCTAGATTCTGCTCTTAAGGATTACTAGATTCTGGATCTCCCTGCTCTTTGCCAAGTACCTTAACCACTACAGAAACAAAAACATGGCTGGTTTGATTATCTATAATGAAAGATTGAAAAAGGTAGTGAAAAATACCAGACATAATTAATTGAAATGGATAATTATTTGATAATGTCAAAATCAGATCTTGGAGCAATGAATCCGGGGGTGAGAGGGGGAGTGAAAGAAATGTGAAATGTAATCAAAAGATTGCAGGGGAAAAAGCATAAAAATATTTATGAAAATATATTGGAGAGAATGCAGCATTGTGAAAGATTTTTTTTAGATAGTGCCACAGTAATTTGTGGCGTTGCTTTAAAATTGAATTGAAAGAAGATGCCAATAAAAATGCATTATCATATGTAACTACAGTTAGGATAAAAGTAAGACTTTATATTATCTATAGAAAGAAAAATAGAGTGAGGGCTAATTTATATAGATAGTTGAATAATATATATAGATGTGTATATAGAGAAAAAGACAGATGTAATCAAAAACAGCAAGGAGTCATAAAGATTAAAAGAGATGGAGACAATGCAGAGCAATTTTGATGGAAATAAAAGTTTTTCTGAAAATGGGAGAAGGATAAAGAAGGAATCTCTAAAAGAGAAAATGCAATCAAAAATAAAATGAATGTTTGAAAGGAATTATGTTGTGTGTTGATTTAGAGAAAGCACACAATAAGATGAATAGGTGTGAAGATTTCAGAGGGGTGGGTTCGAAAGAGCCAAGAGTTTAGCAGGAAGGAGCTGTTGAAATTAAGATCCTCAAAATACAGTATATAAAATGGTGTCTATAGACCAATGGTGGTGGGATTCAATTTTTTTTTACTACTGGGTCTGTGGGCATGTCTTTATGGGCATAGTGTGGCTTTGTGGGCATGCTTTGTGGGCGTAATAGGTGAAGGATACTGCAAAATCCCCATTCCCTCCCCACCCCACTAATCTGCTTTCCAGCTCTGTTCTCCTGTTCAGGCCAACAAAAGAAGATCAGCTGGGAGGCAGTGGGGGCGGGCCAGCCTATTTGCCGGTTCTTCAAACTACTCAAACTTTCTGCTACCGGTTCTCCAGAACCTGTCAGAACTGGCTGAATACCACTTCTGGTATAGACCTGGTGAAAACAATGATGGATTTGGAGGGACAGAAAGATATGGAATGAATGAGTTTGGAGAAACTATCTTAAACTATATTTCCTTTTCTTGTTTCTTCAGTTTCTTTGGTTTATACTTCTCGCTTTTTTCTCTGCTTGGTATAATGTTGCTTAATGTTGAAAGGGAATAGCCTAATGAATGTTATGCATTTTTTAAGGCAAATGTTTTCTCAAAACTGCTCAACTATAATAGTCTTTTAGTTTTTATGTTTTTTAATTGAGTTGTTTATATCGGTACTTTGTATGAGAAACTACATTCCCTGATTTTCTGAACTTACATACTTGTGTGTTGATATTAGTAGGTAGACACACATGTCAGATTTTACATTTTTATATTGAGGACTACTAAACCAACCTTGGCAGAGCCCTCATCTGTCCCGAATCACCTCACCTCACATGCAAGATGGTCTGAGAACCATCATGTCCAGAACCTGCTCAATGTATATATTGTTTCTTTGAAAGCAGTATTGTTTTAATTCACCTGGTGTCAGAATGCTACATTATATGTTAATTGTTGATAGTTGAGTCCTCAGTTCAGGGTAATGGCCCATATAGATGATGTATTCGAAATATAGAGCCATCCAAAATGATGAAATTGTATTACAATTATCATCATCACCACCCCCACCATTATAAAAATACCCTGAACATTTGAAATTTAGAAACTCTGATTCATTCCTCTAATTCTATGTATTCTATAAAAACATCCTATTATTATTTTTGTTTTCTCAGCCAAGTGTTTAGACTGTACTATTCAGTGGTGAGATTCAGCTGGTTCAGACCGGTTTGAACAAACCAGTTGTTAAATTGCTGGCTAGCCCTTCCTGCTCCACCCCTTCCAGGAGTCCCCACGTGCCCCATTTTGGCTTCTAGGTAAGTGCAGGTAAGCCTACTAGGCCCAAAACTGGGCACGGAGATCGTGTGCCCCCCCCCAGCCCATTTTTGCTCCCAGGAGAGTACAGGAGGCCTAGTGCTGCCTGTCACACCCCCTGGCCACGCCAACCATGGCCACGCCCACCCAGCAGGCCACTGGGGCAGAGAACCAGTTGTTAAATTATTTGAATCCCACCACCGGTACTATTCTATTATTATTCTATCACTCTATTGTTGTTGTTGTCATTTATTTTTTCCCTGATTCATTTCTGCCTTTTACGGAATGGTTCCGGACAATGTAACTGTTTATCTTGAAAGCAAGTTTTCAATTACATGCTTGGCTGGGTTTACATTATCACTATCAGTAGGCTAACTAGATCAAAATGGAATCACTGATCTAAATCCCCCTTTAACTGGAGTCCAGAAGCCAATATTTGAATTGGGATTGCTATTTCATTTTTACTCATACTCTGCTGTATTTTAAGACGTATTGATTATGTTTTGGAAGCAGGTCAGTAAGAGGCCTTCACTTCATCCATAAAACATGAACTCATTTTGCTGTTTAACAAAATACAAAAATCTAACAAAATATACTTGCAAAAATAAAAATAACGTGGCCTGCAAGGATAAGGCTTATAAAATACATACAATATCTTCATGTTGCTGCTATAGTCATTTACCAAGAAGTCTTACTAATGGAATCTATAGATAAACAAATAAAGAAAATGATGTTTTTTTTCTTCAGGGTGCTACTCAGAGAGGCATACTGCAGCGTGTATAATGCCATTCAATTTCTTGAAGTACTGTATGCTTATTCTATACCTTAGGGATGTTGTATTGGAGGGGTACTTAAGCAAAACCTGGGGTCTACTTATATATGGATGGTGTCTTTGATTCCATACTACCCAATTATGTACAGTATGTATATTTGTGACTATGGGATTCCCGCTTGGACAGGGAGTTTACAATTAGAAAAGTGTTAACTTTTGAATGGTGAGATTATTCTTGAGTGTAATCAGTAGTTAATATGTAAAAAGTACCACAATTAATACAATCCACTGTAAGCATCCTAAATGCTTTACTTATTATCTAAGCCAGGGGTAGTCAACCTTTTTATACCTACCGCCCACTTTTGTATCTCTGTTAGTAGTAAAATTTTCTAACCGCCCACCAGTTCCACAGTAGTGCTGATTTATAAAGTAGGGAAGTAACTTTACTTTATAAAATCTATAAAGCAGAGTTACAGCAAACCCCTACTGCCCATCATGAAAGCTGGAACGCCCACTAGTGGGTGGTAGGGGCCAGGTTGACTACCACTGATTTAAGCAATTTTATGACAATAATAAAATGGATGCAGTGGCTCAATGGCTAAGACACTGAGCTTGTCGATCAGAAAGGTTGGCAGGTCGGCGGTTTGAATCCCTAGTGCCGCATAATGGAGTGAGCTCCCTTACTTGTTCCAGCTTCTCCCAACCTAGCAGTTTGAAAGCACTTAAGAAATGCAAGTAGAAAAATAGGAACCACCTTTGGTGGGAAGGTAACAGCGTTCCGTGTGCCTTTGGCATTTAGTCATGTTAGCCACATGACCGCGGAGACGTCTTCAGATAGCATTGGCTCTTTAGCTTTGAAACAGAAATGAGCATAGCTTCCTAGAGTCGGAAACAACTAGCACATATGTGCGAGGAGAATCTTTACCTTTATGATAATAATGTAAAATGGGTTGCTTGCATAGAATACTTCTGATATCCGTTTAGTAATAGATTAGCAATAGCAACAGCAGAAGGGATTTTTCCAATTTAAGCTGAAATGACAAAAGCTTAGTAGAGGGAAGAGTGCTCTTGAATGTGAAAGATTATGAACTTAGTTTAGTTTTGGAAGGTAAATAAACTGCTCAATAGCATTCTTGTCTTTAGAAATAAGTGGAGATTGTTTGTACTTGAGGCTCTAATAAAAGTTAAAAGGTAGCTGGTTTGAAATCTGTTCGTTTTTATTGTGGAGGTCAATATTGATTGTCCTGAAAAGTTGAAGCTTTGGGAAACTGACGTATGTAAAGTTAATCAAACAACACTCATTGCAGAGAAAACTGTCAAGCATCCAAAGAAATTGGACTCAATTGTGGGTGAAGCCATGTGCAAGTTTTTAGGCTAAGGGTTGCACCTTTAAGTGGTATGTCATAGACCTAAATATCCATTACATGTATAAAGTTGGAGTGAACATAGAAAAAGTAATTTTGAATCTGCAATCTGAATTTAAGTTTAAATACAGTTAATATGAATAGTGCCATGGTTTTAAAACTTGGAAAAAAAAACATTAGGGATAGATTGGAGAGATAGGAAAATCTATGTGGTGACTAGGAGTTGAAAATAACTTGATCGTACATAATCAAGCAATAATTTAATATTTTTCAGCTTCTGATTTATTAGTTAAAATTAAGTGCAACAATCAGGGACCACATACATTCCAAGGATCTGGAAAAAGCACATCTGGACAAGCATCTTCAGATAGATTAATTGAAATTTAAACAATATCTGTTGGGTAAGAGCCGTTAATCATTCATCCTTTCTCTACCCATTGGGAAATAGACAAGTTTTAATTTTGACATCTTTGTAAGCAAAATGGATGTTAAATATATCTGAGAATTGTAGACGAGGGAAGACTAAACTCAATCTGTCTATCTCTCGGGTTCCGTGTCAATCTGATTATTCCTAGCTATGACCAGTAGTATAGCATCCTCCCTCTTGTTCAGCAAGTATGTATGTTACTGATCTACAATTCCTATAATTGCCATCTAGAAGACCAGGCCATCTTATAATTGGAGGAATACCATAATAATAGTTTCACCTTCAACTGTTAAAGATTAGGGTTACACTTCAGGGCACGGAATGGGATGTATGTGAATTTAGCTAACAAAACAAACGGATGCTTGAACTATATTTTATAACCATAAAATGTATGTCCACAGAGAATTTTATTCCTTGATTTTTATTTCTTTCTACAGGAGACAACAGAGTTTTTCCAAGAGGGAACCCTAGGCAGAAGACAGAATAGCTGCTAACATGAGCTGCAGCAGCACTCCTACCTGCCCTAAAAGGAAAGACATGAGGCTGCCAACTATTAAGCCTTTGGTAATTCTATAGTAACACAGAGTAATGCAAAACAAAGGAGAAATCAAAGGATATTAGGGATCGACTTGAGATTATCCATCAAATACTTCATACATTAAATATATTAAATAACCACTGGGAGGGCTATCAAGTATTTTTCAATGGACCCAGAGTTCTTCTTAGCTCATTGTTATGTGATCCTTCAAAGTTCACAGCTGCCTGAACGCATTGCAATCAAGTGACAGTGTTTATTGTTAGCTGTGCACAAACAGTTGGAGGGATGGTCTAAATTAAAAAATGCCAACATGATGACATGACCAATTCACATTGTAGAGATGAAAATGCACTTTGTTTCTTAGAGACCACTGTTGGCTGGGCTCTCCTTTCCGTGTTGAGGGGCCTAGCGATGCCTAATCCCATCTCCTATCATTATTACCAGCTGAACAGTTGGAAGGAAAGTACAGAATCACAATCCAAGATTTTGCAAGCTACTTACGACATTTGGCCTGGAGGGGAAATGCTTTTGGATGGATTTGGGCAACTGAACAGTGAAAGAAAGGAATGAGAAACCGGATCTCATGATCTCATTCATTGTACTTCACATGGACGACAATTTTATTTCATTGGAAATAATGCATGGAACAATGCAGAATTAATCAGCTAACAGAATTGTGTTTCCCCTGTTTATTACAAACTTAAGTGAAAAAAACCCAGCATGTAAACTTCTAAAACAAGAAAGGTGCATTAAAACCACAGCTATCGTTCTATTTCAGACTGCTCTAAATAAAGATATCCTTAGGAGCAGTTGTTGCTACAATTAATCCCAGTATCGAATGTAATTTTGATTGAGTTTTAATGTTTAGTCCACTGCTTCCCATCCCAACCACTGTTGATGAATTCCAGCAGCTTCCACAACCACAACTCCCATCATCCTTAAAGAGACAAAAGCCGGGCTGCCCAGCCCCACTGGAGAGTCCCCTGCTTGGGAGAGGAGAGCCCCCTGCCCCAAAGGTTCTTCACACAATGCACAACCTCCCAGATCTTGCAAGAGGAAGGTGGGCTCATCAAGCCCACCAGCTCTTCTCCCCTTTATTTAGTTTATTCGATAACTAAATATTGGACTGCGTTGATTAAATCAAATCTTATTTAATCTTCTGTAACATTCTTTTTGTTTTTGTTTTCCTCGTCTCGTGTCAGGATCAGCTTTGTGAAGTTATACACAACAATTAGTAGAATCCAAATTTATTTATTTGGTTTATTTCTTGTTGTTCTGTTTTGTTGAAGGAACTAACAAAAGGTAAATAAAGTAAATATTAAATCTACAATCAAATAAATGCAAAATCATCTTAAAAATTAAAACCTGCTGAAATACATATACATCTGTGGAGTTCTTGGTACTTGAGTGCTTGCTTGCTTGTTTGCTTGAAAATATTTTATTACCCAAGTAGATAACATCATCACCGCAAATGAGGATAGCATTTACTACCTGTTTACGTTTGCCAGGAGTGGTAGAGGTGTGGTTTCCTGCTTGATGGTTCCTTGATTAAAGTATTGTTTTATACATGATTGCCTGATATTGATCCTTGCTTATCTGATTGTGCACTGCTGGAGGGAATGTGCTTTTTTTGTTTTCTTCCTAAGGTTTTTGTGTGTCTCCTGCGTATGATGTATAAATGTGGTTTATCTCTGTGTTCCCATTGGTGCCTGATTTATCTGACTGCCAAACTTCAAAGAATTCCTAGCATTTTGGATCTGCACTCATTCATTCATTTTATCTGGCCATCAACTCACCTACCAACTGTAAGTCACAATCATTAAAATGAAAAAAAAAAAAAACTAGGTTAGAAAAAAGCAACAAAATACATTGAACCAGTGTGACAATAATTGACTTTAAAATACAGCTAATCCTCAACTTACAATCATTCAGTGATGATTCAAAGTTACAATAGTACTGAAAAAAGTGTCTTATAACCATTTTTCACACTTAACGACCATTGCAACATCCCCGTGATCACATGATCAAAATTTGTTAACTGGCATGTATTTATGACAGTTGGTGTGGTGGGATCCCCTTTTGTGATCTTCTGACTAGCAAAGTCAACGGGGAAGCCAGATTCAGTTAACTGGGTTACTAACTTAACTGTAGTGATTCGCTTAACAACTATAGCAGAAATGGCCATAAAATGGAGTAAAACTCGCTTAACAATGGTAACTTTGGGCTCAATTTTGGTCATAAGTTGAAAACTACCGGTACAGAAGCTGGCCGCACTGATGCTCTGTTCCAATCCATGGGGGAGGAACCAGGTCTCCAGTTTGCCATGAAAAGCCAACACGAGTGAGATCGTCCTAATCTCAAGGAGTATTTTTTTTCTATAGGGAAGTTGTTGTGACAGAGAAAATATCCTTCCTGCATCCCATAAGATGACACTGTTTAATTGAGGGGAAACAGAATATGCCTACCCTTTCTGATCTGACTAAGAAGTTCTCACTTCCACATCATCACATTAGTCCCTATTTTACCCACTTTTTTTGGTTAACTTTCAGTATTCAATATTTTAATATTTACCGTAAATGTTTTAAGACATGGGTTTCAAAAAAACGTTTTTTTCTCTTCACGGAGCTGGGGTGGGTGTGGCTCGAGCATGACGCATCTAGCACTCAGGCTGCCAGTTCGACACTCCTGTTATAAGACGAGAAGGGGATCAAGTGACATCATGCATGTCATGATGTCATCACACAAACAATTTTATTTGCCTGCTTTCGAGCAAGTTACAGGGGTGGATTTCAAACTTTTTAATACTGGTTAGGTGGGCGTGGCTAGGTGGGGGTCATGTGACTGAGGGGGCATGGCCAACTTCACATCACTCATGTCCACTCAGTCACATGACCCCCACACACAAAGCCACGCCCACCGAAACATTGGCAGACATTTTTGACAAGGGGGGGGTGGCGCCAGGCGAGAGCTCTTCACTGTCTCCCAGATGATTCTGGGGACGAGCCAAGTAGCCTGCTCTTGAAGTGGCAGCTGTGGCTGATAGTCTTGCCCCTGGGCTCTCGCTCCTTCTGCCCGGGATGCTCCGTTTGACCCATCTGCCTGGGAGACGGCACCTGGGGAGGAAGGAAACAGCCATTCAGGCAGTCTCAGGTCTTCTGGAGCAACCCATGTGCACAGGGCATTCGCCTTGCTCTGGCAGTGCCCAAGCTGGAGGTGGTGGTTGCAAAGCCTCCGAGCTCCCGGAGCAGCCCATGTGCGCAGGGTGTCCCAGCTGGAGGAAGGGGTCAGTTGTGGCGGTGCCTCTAGGCACCGCCGGAGCCAGCTGAGTGCCCTGCACATATGCGCAACTCTGGGAGCCCCAAGGCTTTACAACTACCACCTTCTCCAGCTCTGGGCACGTGGGCCACTCCAGGAGCCCTGAGGCTTTGCCACCACTGCCTCCTCCAGCTCGAGCGCCGCTGGGGCCAGCACACATAGGCCGCTCTGGGCACTTTTTAGGCGTGCAGCCTGCCGGGCTGCCCCCGTGCCCATCACAGCTGAAATGGATGCGGCTTTGGGGGACACTGGCCAGTGCAGAGGTGCGGGCGGAGACTAGCCCCCCTCTGCAACACACGGGCGACTCCCTGCACGTCCTCAGCTTGTCCAGCAGCAGCTGAGCCCACTGCCCTGAGCCGGCGGATGGAGGCACTACAGGGTGCAGCTGGAGGCATGCTAAACTTGCTCTCCCTGCCGCCACTGCCCTCTCCTCCTGCCGCCCTCTCTTCCTGCCACCACTGCTCTCTCATTCCGCCACTACTGCTCTCTCCTTCTGCCGCCCTCTTCAGCATGCACAGCTTGCCGGGCTGCAATGGCGGCAGCTTCAGGAGACACTGACTGGTGGTGAGGGGGGGCTAGACCTTTCTGTAGGCACGAGGAGGCAGTTGTGTGGATGGACATGGCAAAGATGAGGCAGGGCGAGCATCCAAGTGTACCGGTTTGGGTGTGTGCCAGCCAGCTATCATTACTGGTTTCATGACCCACACCCAATTACCACTACCAGTTCTCCTGAACCAGTCCGAACCAGGAGTAATCCACCTCTGGAGCTTACCCCATTGCACAGCATTCAGATCTTAAACCAGAGCTGTCAGCTTTCTAGCTGATAAGCTCAGCATCTGTAACCCACGGAGCCATATGTACTCCTATGTAGCTCATATCATGGCACAATTATCATGGGTTTGATATTGGATTACTTCTTTAATGCAATGTGTTTACTGCCTTTGTTTTTGTAACTCTTTGGTTAGTTTGATGTATGGTTTTTGATCCTTTTATTAGAAAAGGTTTGATAAGCCAGAGTGGCATGTAAGTCACAGTACGTAAATAAACACAGTAATCAAAATTGTGTAGTGTACATAAATTGTGTGATGACATTTGCCAAATGTCATAAATGCCCTAATGGCTTCCACTGTATGTCTGTGAATGCTGCATTTCTCTGTGTTATTAAACCTTTTACTCATAATATTTATTAAGAACATTTTAATGCTGCCATTTGAGGGAAAGCAATTTTTGTAAATGGATATATCTCAAACCACAATAGTATTACAGAAGAGTTATAAACAAAAACAGTCTAAATTAACAGTTAAAATTGGATTGCTCACTATGATATACAAAGATATAAAAGAGGCAAAATTCATAAACACAATTTTTATAGACATTAGAATAAAACATGATGAGAAATACACACTGTGAGAAATTTTGTTTGATTTTTATTGCATGCTTACAAAAGCAGTTGTTGAGAAGTTCTTGGTTGTGAGTGTTCAGATAAGCAAGTTGAAGACCATTTCTTTCTTATCTTAATAATTTGAGAATTTAAAAGGAGTCCAGGTGTTACTTGATGTATATTAGGCCAGTTTATATAGGGTTTATATGTATGGTAAATATTTCAAAATCCAGGAGATTAAAAGTGGTTTGATTGTTGTTATCTCTTCTGCCTTCCCCATGTTGGCACATAGGCCCAGTGTGCTTTACCCGTCCTAGTTTCAGAATTATTTTCTAGGGCATCGTTTTTGCATATGCCAATTTTTGAGGCATATCACAAATCACAAGTATTAATGAATATTAAAAGTAATCTCTTTGCTCACTTTGTATCAAATAATACAACAATGGGAAAGGAGATTATTATCTCATAGGTAACGGTAAAGGTTCCCCCGCACATGTGTGCTAGTCATTTCCGGCTGTAGGGGCGGTGCTGATCTCTGTTTCTAAGCCGAAGAGCTAGCACTGTCCGAAGATGTCTCCGTGGTCATACGGCCGGCATGACTCAACATCGAAGGCGCACCGAACGCTGTTACCTTCCCACCAAAGTGGTCCCTATTTTTCTACTTGCATTTTTTACGTGCTTTTGAACTGCTAGGTTGGCAGAAGCTGGGACAAGTAATAGGAGTTCATTCTGTTATGCGCCGCTAGGCATTCAAACTGCCAAACTGCTGATCTTCTGATCGACAAGCTCAGTGTCTTAGCCACTGAGCCATCGAGTCTTTTTACCTTATTACCTCATAGGCAAGGCTTAATTGGATATACTTAAACTGAAAAGGAATAGGATGGCCTGCCAAAGGTGACGTTTTATTTGAAGGTGCCTCCCATTGAAATGGATTGTAGTTCAGATCTGATTTAAGATGGAAGTCCATAAATTAAGGAGAGCAGGGAAAGTTGTCGAGTAGCATATGGTCAGCAAACTAAGCAGGTATGTTCATCACAGATGGAATTAAACTCTTCCTGAATTTTGTAGTACATTTTCAATTATTGTAATGCTAAACTCTATAGATTGATCATCATGGACAGCTCACATTTTTAATGATATGGGAAATAAATAAATATTTCTCTGGGCTTTCTTCTACGGAATGGAAACAATGTTTAGAATCATTGTTTAGACTGGGAGAAATACCAATTTAGCTGAACTAACAGAGACCTCAGTCCTATTAATCTATTGGAAAGTTTAAAAATAATAATTGCATTCATTTTTGGCTTCCCAGATGTTTTGCTTACACTAATGGAGATATAAAAGAACAGCTTACCAAATTGGTGCTTTAGCATTCATAGTTTAGTTTAGTATTTATAGTGAAACCTGTTTTAACAGATTAGATAGGATGTGGTCATGTCCATTAACCATCCATTAAGCAAAAAAATAATACATGTGGAGCAATTTATATTATTTGTGGAATGACATTATTATTCAGTCCTTACATATTTGGATTCATATGTCACACTGTATGAATACTGAAAATTGCTTATTCTGTAAATTTCTGTAAACTGTAGAGGTATTAACTACTGATTCGTATGGCTGTA